GCAGGACGACAAATCATCAGCATAAACGTAATAGTAAGAGTATCATTCAGTATAAGAAGGCGAAGAAGAGGAATACTCATACTAATGAGACTAAACGTTACTATTGTACTACGAACGCGACGAATCATTGAACTAGTAACGCAAACTCGGATAATACATATTAGAACAGCAGCAAGTGGGACTCTCGGATTTAGCTTGGGGCGTCGTTTGTTTCAGCGAGGCCCGTGCTGTATCTGATGACAGTGACCTCGGTCGGGGGTCCTCGTTTTATAGCTGCAGCGGGATCGCCCAGATGCGCAGGGGTGGCTGTTTGCTTGCGTGCTCGGCGCGCTGCGGGCGTCGCAGGCGCTTGTTCTCGTTGCGGCCGGGTGATGGCAGCTGGTTTCAAAATCTATGGCGTTGCTTGCGTGTTCCTTCCTGCGCACATGCCGCGCGCGGGATATCCGCGCGACGATTTAGACCGCCGTGCATTTTTACAGCAGGAGGTCGATTTTGCCAGGGAGCGACGCAGGAAACTCTGCATAGCTGGTGATTTCAACGCGCAGTTTGAAATCGGCGATCGCGCACTGCGTGAGATCTTTAACGCCGGTCTAGGTGCTTGGCGCCGGAATGGGCGCCGGCGCGACGCCTCGCCCTTCTCCCCGCCCTGCGTTGTCGCGTCAGCCATGCAGGCGTCGACTCGGAGAGACGACGCCCGTCCGCGCGCGAAGCCGCGCGGCGCGCGTGGGCAGCGAGAGGTGCGCCGCAAACGACGGGGCGCGCGCGGCCCGCGAGAGCGGTCTAGACTGTCAAAATTCATTTTTAGAGAGCATGCACGCGCAAGCGGGCGTATTGCGATGCGCGCGCCGCTTCGCAGTTGTCGAAATTTGAAGGCGTTAAGAATTTACCCCAGGTGCGCGCGTTCCATTAGCAGCTGGGCAGGCGGGGCCCCGTGGGCAGCGATGCGTTTACGGCTTCGCGAGCAAGTATTTCCCGCGGGCAGCGGCGCTGCTGGGGGCGACTGGGCGGCGGCGCGCTGTGGCGGGGGCCCGCGTGACGTCGCGCCGTTTTGCGCGCGGGAGTTGCGGCTAGTTTGCGAGTGCATGAAGCGCGGCGAATGCGCGGGCAAACGCGGCGTCGCCGTTGACATGTTTGCGAGCTGTGGTTATGCTTTGCGCGGGCGCTTATCGACGTCTGAATTCTCTGCTCGGCGCAGGCCGCGTCGACCTCCGCTTGGCAGGGGGCGTGTTTTATCGTGCTGCCGAAGACCGGCAGCAGACATGTCGACTGCGCGTGAGAGTGGCCCCTCGCCGAAGTGACCTTTGGTGCTGGCCCAAAGGGGGTCGGGCGTTTCCCCCGCGGAGTGAGCGCGGCCTCGCGTCGGCGCCCGCGTCGAGCCATTGCGCGCGCCTCTGAGCGCGCCCGGCTTGGGCCCGCCTCTTGCAGTCAACGGCAGCGCGCGCGCGCGTCGCACCCTGCAGTTTGCATTGGTTGCCCGAGGGGGGGCCGGTCGGCCGGGCGGCGCGTTTCCCGGCCCGGGGCGGGTCGTGAAGTCCAGCCCAAATCCTGAGACGTCTGGCTTGAATATATTTGGTTCTCTTTGGTTATCTGTCAATGTCAATATTTCTGATCATCCACGGAAGTGCTCGAAAGTGTTTTTCCCCGACCTTGCGGGGGGGGTCCCGTTGGGCGTTCCTGGCGGGGTCCGGGGGCCCCCAGGGACATGGCCCCGGCCGCGCGACGAACGCCGGCAGATGTCCAGCGGGGGGCGGGGGCCAGACGGCCTCATTTCGGCGGGCGCGCTGTCGGGCGGCATGGGCGGGCCCGAGACGATCCGCAAGACGGCCCCGGAGAGCCGCGCGCCGCCGAGGGCCGCGCGCCGCCGACTGAGCGGCCCGGGCGGCCCAGGGAGCCCGGGAGACGGTCTCGGAGGCCTCCAAAGAGTCGCAATTCATTGGTTTTCTTTAGGTTTCTGAAGGTTTTTCGCGTCATCGCCCGTTCGGCTTCCCGACGCTCGAGGACGACCCAAGACGGCGGCGCCCAGGCGATCCGAGACGCCCACGGGGCGGCCCCGGCGGCCTCCAAGACGGCCTCAGAAGGCGCCAGTATCGCTCCAAGAGGGTCCCTAGAGAGGAGGCAGGGACCGACATTTCGGGCCCCCCGCCCGAAGAGACTCCCAGGAGGCCTCACAAGGCCTCCAGGAGGCCCCCAAGAGGCCTCCAAGAGGCCCCGAAAAGCTTTGAAGAGGCTTCCAGGAACCCCCCCGAGGCTTCCAAGACGGCCCCGAGACCCGCCGAGAGAGCCCCGCAATGGCTGGTGACGCCCCGACAAAGCGTCGCAGCCCCAATCGGACAACGCGGGAATCAACGTCGCGCGCTCCATGGGCATCCTCTTCTTCGTTGTTCTCTCGAGTTCGAATGTCACGCCCACTTGTCCACCGAGAGGTCCCCCGTGAGACCCCAGAGAGTCCGAGCTCATTGATATCTTTAGCTATTCAAGTTCTTTTTTGTTCTCGGCACTCGGGCTTCATGGCGCTCCGAGGCGGCCCGAGAGACCCCGCGCAGTCTCCTGGGGGGGCGCCCGGGGGGTCGAGAACGCCCCTGAGACGGCCCGAGGCGCCCCCGAGACGGCCTCAGACGGCCCCGGGAACGCTTCAGGAACGGCCCCAGAAAGGGGGCAGGGGCCGACGTCTCGGGCTTCCCGCCCGAATAATCCCCAGGTCCCAAGAGGCCGCAAGATGCCCCGAGCAGCCTCCGAGCGGAATTTCGCGGTGGCCCGCGGGCGCCAAAAGTTTGTCGAGTGGCGCCCCGCCGATCGTTGATGTGGCGCGGCAGCGCTGGCTTGCGCGGTTGCGTCGGGCCCCCGCTGGCGCCCCTGAAGCCGCGCGCCAATGGTCACTCTAGCGCAGGGTCGCTCCGACGTGTGGTCGAACATGACGTAGATAATTGGCGGCCCGTAGCAATTTTACACATCGCATGCAAGGTATTTGATCGCTTAGTTTTTGTGGGATTGCAGCCCGACCTGGAAGGGGGGCGGGCGCGCGGCGATGTCGGATTTCGACCCGGCCGCCCCGTCGACGACGCCGCTGTCGCATTGGAGGATGTCTGCGCGAAAGCTTTGGAGTGGCATCTCCTGCTGTGGGTCGCTAGCGTTGACCTTGCAGAAGCTTTCGACCGGCCTGGGCGCCGCGTGTTTGTCAGGGCGTTATCGGGGCAGGGAGTTCGAGCGGAGTGCGCGCGGCTTTTGGCGTGCACTCGCAGCTCCCAACGGGGGGGCGCCAGTGGCCGCGCGGCGTTTGACATTGCCCGCGGCGTCAAGCGGGGGGGCGTTTTCTCAGCGCTGCTCTTCGACGCTGGTTCAGAGCATGCAGTTCGGAATTTCAAAGTGCGCGCCCAGCAGTGTGATTCTGATGTTGGAGGCGTCGGTTTGCTCGGCGACATGCAGTGCTCTGATGACATTTTACTTCGCGCGCGTTCCGCCGCAGAGGCTGTTCACATGCTGGACATCCTTTCGGACGAATTGCCCGCGCGCGGTCTCTCGCTCAACGCGGGCAAGGCGCGGGCTTTTGCGGGCGAGATTGCCGCTTCCAGCGTGACGAGCCTCTCGTTTTGCAGCTTGCTGGCCGCCAGCTGCCTGTCATGGCGCCCGACGTATCCCGCAAGCGCATCGGCGAACGATTCGGGGGCGACTTGCGATGCACATCGGGATCCAATGCCAATTGTCGCATGGGGTGCGCGCGGGTGAAGTTTTACTCACGCAGAGCGGTCCTTCTGAATCTCTATGTATGTGTGTATGTGTGTGTGTGTGTCTCTTTCTTTCTTTCTCTCTCTCTCTCTCTCTCTCTCTCTCTCTCTCTCTCTCTCTCTCTCTCTCTCTCTCTCTTCTCCTCCTCTCTCTCTCTCTCTCTCTCTCTCTTCTCGCTCTCTTCTCATTCTCTCTCGTCTCTCCTCTCTCTCTCTCTTCTCTCTCTCTCTCTCTCTCTCTCCCTCTCTCTCTCGCTCTCTCTCTCTCTCTCTCTCTCGCTCTCTTCTCATCTCTCCTCCTCTCTCTCTCTCTCTCTCCTCGTGGGGGGGGGAGCGCTCCCCCAGCGCCCGGGGAGCAACCGCCCAGGCAAAGGCAGCTGGCGGCGGCCCCCCGGTGCGCAACCACACCGGCCCGCGAATCGAGAAAGAACGCCAGAACATTAGGAGGAGAATGGGGGGGAGAAAGTGAAAGCAGCGAGCTGACATCAGGAAAGAACGGGAGAGCGGCCGCCTGCGGGAGGGGAGGCAGGGGCAATGCGGTCGTGGTGGCGGATGGGATGGTCGTAGAGGGCGCGGGGGCGGCGGCCGCGGTGGTGGCCGAAGTGGTCAGGGTGGTCGTAGTGGTCGCGGCGCTGGTCGTCGTCGTCGTGGCCGCCCGTATTGGTTGTCGCAGTGGTCGTGACAGTGGGGCGGAACGAAGCGTGTCCCAGTACCACCCTGTCTCGGGGGGGCGTGGGTTTTGTCGTAGTGGTCGTAGGGCGCGCGGTTTCGCAGTGTGTGTGCTCGGGCGGTCGAACTAAGCGGGCGTGGGGCGTGCTATCTCTCTTTACTTTCTCTCTCTCTCTTATTCTCTCTCTCTTCCTCTCTCTCTCTCTTCTTCTCTTTCTCTCTCTCTCTCTCTCTTCTCTCTTCTCTCTCTCCTCTCTCCTCTCTCCTTCTCTCCTACCCTCTCTCTCTCTCTCTCTCTTCTTCTCTCTCTTCTTCTCCTCTCTCTCTCTCTCTCTCTTCTCCTCTTATCTCTCATCTTCT